GATTCTACAGAAAAGACAGGCCTAGAATCTCTTTAGACAAAGAGTCTGTCTGCCAGGCAATTAACAAATTCCTTAGCATGGTTCAAAAGTTCACTAGGATCTTAAAACTTTTTATAAATAATTTTATCTATATTAGAATTAACTATATTTCTTTAAGCATGTTTTTAATTAGTTACTTATTAGATCCAAACTTATAGTCATTATTTAGCATTACATTGTGTGCAAGCTTGGTTAAAAATACAAACTACTTTCTTGTGGAAACATTTTGAGGCACAGATAGCGCTGCAGCTGCAATCATATATCAAACTTGACAGCGGCTGGTACGAGAAGAGTTATTCGTATATCTGCTTTTGGGGCTCTTTAGCAGGAGGTAATAAAATTAACATTAAGACAGCCCACACAAAGGAAAAGAACACACCTCCTAATGCATATATTTAAATGAGGAGAATATGCAGTCTATAAAAAATGGTTTTTTCACAACAGGAGTTGGAATCTCTTTGTGCTGAGTGAGAGTTTCCCGGAGGATGCATCTTCTGTCTTTTTTACTCAGTTCTTTGTCTCTGTTTTGTAATGTCTTGGACTTTTGATATTCTAGGTGAGATGATTATTGTAACATTCTTCTTGCATTGATTTTCTCTGGATAAAACTCTGAATATCTGAAGTCTGACGTCGTATGATTGCTCTTTTCTCTCTGCACACTTACACAGACACAGGAATTCGGGACTAAGAATTAATTAACGAGCTAAGATCAAGTTATTCCACTTTTTAATTCTTAACACTAGGAATGCCAAGTGCAGAAGCTGTAAAAAGCTGGGTCATTTTGCAGTCGTGTGTCGCTCCCGTGTGGTCAGTGAAGTTACTGCACCTAAAAGGAACTTCGACAGAAATGCGACATATTTTCTTGGAGGAGTTACAGACGTAGAAGATTCTTCGAAAGCTTGGACTGTAAACCTGCCAATACAAGGTTCTCACATCGTCTTCAAAATTGACTCAGGGGCTGATACTAGTGTTATACCATCAGAGACATTTGAAAAACTTGCCTTTAAGCCAAAACTAAGAAAACCGACAAGCAAACTAGACAGTCCCAGAGGCAAACTGAATTGTATGGGTTATTTCATAGCCACCACAATGAGGAGAGGCAAAAGATTCAGATTTAAAGTCAATGTGATTAACGGACCCCAATGCAGTCACCTCCTGAGTCGTAATGTTGCAGTAGCCATGGGCCTGATAAAACGCATGGAGGAAATAAGAGCTCCAACACAAACCAGTAAATCCTGTCCTGATGAAATAGGAAGGCTAAAAATCAAACCTGTTAAGATCACTCTAAGAGAGGGTGCAACTCCCTATCGTGTGACAACAGCACGGAGAGTGTCAGTTCCCATGTTACCAAAAGTGAAGAAAGAGTTGAATTGTATGGTAAGCTGTGGAGTGATTCAACCAATCTCAGATCCAACAGAGTGGTGTGCTCCAATGGTGCCCGTGCCAAAGAAAAACAAAGAACAAATTAGAATCTGCGTCGATTTGAAAGAGCTAAATAAAGCAGTCAAAAGGGAAAAGTATGTCCTACCAACGGTGGATGACATCTTGCCTAAACTGGCAGGCGCCAAAGTGTTTTCACTGTTAGATGCTGCAAGTGGATTTTGGCAAATACCACTTGATCCAGAGAGCGCCAAATTAACAACCTTTATAACCCCATTTGGTAGATACTACTTCAACAGGCTACCATTTGGTATTACCAGTGCACCAGAAATCTTTCAGCGAGAGATGACAGAACTCTTAGGGGAACAAGAAGGAATAGCAGTCTACATGGACGACATACTCATTTATGCAGACACTCCAGAGCAACATGAAGCGAGACTAAAAAAAACACAGGACACACTTAAGGAAGCAGGGTTAAGGTTAAACCATGAAAAAAGCTACTACGTCAGAAACAACTCCATTATCTGGGTCATTGTATTGATGAACATGGCATAAGGCCAGATAAAGCCAAAGTTAATGCAATCACAGAACTTGAACCACCAAAGAATGTTTCCGATCTGAGGAGGATTCTTGGAATGATTCACTACTTGGGCAGATACCTACCAAATCTTTCTGAAGTCACAAAACCTCTCAATGATCTGCTTAAAAGTGATGTGACTTGGACTTGGGATACAGCTCAAAAAGAAGCATTCAGTAAAGTGAAAGATCTTGTCACAAAGTCACCAGTCCTCGCATTCTATGATGTAACCAAACCGACTGTTGTTAGTGCAGACGCTAGCAGTTATGGTTTAGGGGGAGTTTTACTTCAAGACCATAATGGACAGTTGAAACCAGTGAGTTTTTGTTCCAGAACACTCACCGATGCAGAGCAACGATATGCACAAATTGAAAAAGAATGTCTAGCAGCAGTCTGGGCATGTGAGAAGTTCAGCAGATACCTTTATGGATTGAACTCTTTTACCTTACAGAGTGACCACAAGCCACTGATACCTCTCATAAACAGCAAAGATCTTCATTCAGTGCCGCTTAGATGTCAGAGACTTTTGCTGAGAATGATGCGGTACAACCCAACTGCTGTGTATGTTCCAGGGAAAGAACTTTTAGTAGCAGATACCCTTTCACGCCACCCACTGGCGTCCACATCTCATGAAATAGCAGAACTGCTGGAGGAAATAGAAGCATATGAAGACGTAACACAACGCTCTTGGCCTATTTCTCCTACCAAGCTGGATTTAATCAAACAACACACACAGCAGGATGTGACCCTTCTAGCAGTGCAAACCTTTTTGCAGACAGGCTGGCCTAAATACTCAAATAAAGTGCCGGAAGGGGTGAAGCCATATTATGCTAACAGACATTGTATTACCATGTCAACAGGCTTGTTACTGTATAATGACAGAATCGTTATACCACAACAGCTAAGGCCTGAGATTCTGCAGCGTATTCATGATGGACATCAAGGCATTGTGAAATGTTCATACATTGTCCAGACCAAGTCAGGAGTCTTGAGGAGGAACCGTCGACACCAAAGACCCGTCCTCAGTAACCCACCTACTCCAACAACAGATGGACTGCCACAAGTTCAGAGTGAAACTGAGCTACACTCATCTTTTTCACCTGTAGAACCAGGGTGTGACTCTCCAGACCCGGTTAATCTTAGCTTGCCTGAGACTCCTGTTCGTACGACTTCTAGTGGCAGGGTTGTTAAATTGCCTAAACGGTATGCTGACTATACCACCTGAAGAGGTTATTCAGTTATTTTGACCTGTGCATTTTTGAGTTAAAAATTTGTGAGGTTTATTCTGTGAAGGTCCTGTTGGGCTTGAGTTATAATTTTACATCAGCTAAAGCTAAAACCCACTGTTAATCTGTTACTTTGTCTTAAAAGACTCAAAGAAAGGGTGATGTAATGTAATGGTACTATTTTATATGTAAGGTTACATTGGAGTAGAACAAGGAAGTGACGTATGCAGTAGAGACGCTAAGAAAGAACACTGTTCAGCAGCCCGAGATTGTGTTGGTGTTATGTTCGACATTAAAGACGTTCAAACGCAATATCGGTGACATCCTTGACTCGGCATAACACTACAGCCACCACGACAGGCACCGACAACCTTGCGACCACAGCTCCGATCAGCCGCCTCGACAATGGAGGCACAGAGCACGGTCCACTCAGAATCAATGTCCCTCACCTCCTCCGGGATGTGTTCGAAGCTCTGCCGGAGCTTCGAACACACACACACACACACACACACACACACACACACACACACACACACACACACACACACACACACACACACATATATATATGAGCCCATATATATATATATATATATATATATATATATATATATATATATATATATATATATATATGGGCTCATATATATATATATATATAATATATATATATATATATATATATATATATATCTAGCTAGTGTCTTGTGGGGAAAAAAAACACTTGTTCTTTACTAATTTTTTACTCATTTTTTGTAAAGTGGGTGTTAAATGACTAAAATGTTCCCTCATCTAATAAAAGTCCCAAATGCGTAAAAGCTAGCAATGGCCTAAATTATTTGTGTGCCCAGACAGTGTCCTACAAAATGGCATCAGATTTATATATATTTTTTCTCCTCTTTTGTTAATTTTTCACTGCAACTTTACAAATAGCACCTATGCAGAACAGTTTCATTTTATTCAATATAAATTACACATAAGTGGACTCAACTTATAAGGCGACATTTTAAGACTATTGGCCTGTGCTGAATACAAATCTGTATCAATTTGGTAAAACTGCAAGATGACTCTACTTTGTTTTGTTTTGGACTATAACATAAAATTCAGGTAAAATGCACTTAAGATTTTTTTGCTATGACGGCATAAAATATTAAAGAGTTCAATGAATATCAATGGGTCTTGAACAGCTGTACAAATATGAGAATAAAATTAACCTTACAAAGATTTCTGATCTGCTTTTACTAGTTTAGGTCCTCAGTTTTTCTCAAAAATGAAACTCCAAAAACATTTCAAAGTTCATCATATATAAAACAATAATTTATTATCTCTCATTGTACAAGACTCAAATTGTGAGGCTAACTAGGGATTTGTTAGGCTGGTTTCTCTTCCCGATACATAAAATTCTACAAAAGCAAGAGCATCTATATGTGTGCACAAAATGAAACATATACTTCACATCTTACTCTAAAGGTTATCGTACATACACACACACACATCAGTATCAATGTTCTCTTCATGTTGGGATAGATGGTATGTTGCTGGTGGTCTTTAACTTTGGGAAATCAGCATCTTTAAAACAAAAAAAAAAAACACACACATTTTATACAAATTATATTTTATAATTCTCCAAAATCGTTATCTAAAGGTTTTCTTGATTTACTTTTTTTAAAGGTAAAATAACATTTTCTCCATAAAAATATCACACTAAAATACTGGGTAATATATATATCTATATATAGATATCTATATATATATCTATATCTATATATATATATATATATATATGTATGTATGTATGTATATGGCTCACATTCTTTTACACACTTTCAAAACCTTCCAAAAAGAGTCAAATACTGCAGTTTCCAAAAAATATCCAAAAGAGCTCAAAGGTAGAAAAGGTTACTGAAAAGAATCTTTGCTTTAAAATTGCAAATTCCCATTCAGTGAAACCCAGCCATCACTTAATGGACCCCTCCAAAGAAAATGTAGGAACTGAAAGGCTTTACTGATTTGCTATTTACACAGTGATGCCACATGTTGGTGGCAGCCCTCTCTGTCCAAGGCAGTTCCGCCCACTTCCAGGTTGGAGTGGGACTCACACCGTGGTCACAGACAGAAGTGAGTTATAAACCCTGGTCCCATCAGGTGACTTGGTGCCGTGGGTCAGCAGTTCCTGGATGGTCATCCAGTTGTCAAAAATTTTCTTATTTCTCTTTTTCATCATCTTTTTGTGGCTGAGTTCGATGATGTTTGGCTCCTTCTTGTCCTCTGGAGCACTCTGGTCCTTCAGACAGTCCACTCGGCTCTGCTTCATGAACTCGCGGCGCTGCTTCTGCTCCTTGGCCCGCATAGCGTGCTGCTTCCGCTCCTCCTTGCTCCAGTATCGACCCATCTTTAGTTCGCTGATGGCGTCATCGTCTGTGGTCATGCCGCTGCGCTCTTCATGGATACGGAGGGCACGCTCCCTCAGCAGCCTGTCCCGGACCGGCCGCTTCGTGATGTACCGCGTGCCGTCGCTGCGGATCTTTACCTTCCACTCCATCCTGGGCTCATGGTCACTGGGGCTGACTGCATCCCGGCACATGCTGACCAGACTCATCTGACTCTGGGCATATTCCACTGCAGATTTCTGCTGGATCAGTTGCATGTAGCTTTGGTAGTGCTGGGCGTGGGCCGGGATGTGAGCATGCTTGTAAGGGGAATGTGGTTGAAAGCCTCGTCCACCCTTACCCGTCTCCCCAAGATTCCTCTCTTTGCTCTCGGCTTGTAGTTCTCTGTCCAGGTCTTTAGAGGAGACTCTGCACCGCCTGGGGCCACCGGCTTCCTGCACCGGGGACAAGAGGGGCTTGTGTGTCTTGCCATTTAGGACTCCAGATCCAGACAGTCTGACTGCAGCCTGATTCTTTGCTCCACGACGGAGGGAGTTATCTGGGGACAGTTCTAGAGTGAGAGGGGTGCTGCGGCAGCTCTCGCCGGTGTTGTAGGCACTTGAGCTATCCTTGTCTGATTTCTCAGGCAGCTCTGTGATGTCCGGCAGTTCGTGGCGGCGAGCGTCTATGCTGGTATTGTAGTTGTGGAAGCCACTGTTGTGGAGCATCCACGACTCTCGGCACTGCTCCCTCAGCTGCTGCATCTTGTGGGCACGGACGATGTTCAGGCACTCCAGCTCGATGCTGCGCAGCTCCTCGTTGAGCAACTCCAGCTCCTTATCCACGCCTTCCTCTGTCTGACCCCCAGAAGCTAGGCTGAACAGGCCCTGCGCGCCGCCACTCCTCATCTGACACTTTAGCTCCAGGAGCTCTCGAAAGCGCTCACACTCGTCGGCTGGGATGCCCAGGAAGTCGGCGTCGGCGTAGTCTGCAGAGATGAGCGACTCGCCACTGAAGGGCAAGTCAGTGCTGCCGAGCGTGTCCTGGCTATAGGTCAGCTTCCTGCAGCTGCCCAGCGTGTTGGAAGCTGTGGTCGTCTGATCGTCACCGAGGTTCTCTTGCTCAGAGCTCTCATCGTTCCGGGTGCTCTCGTCTGTGCGGCCAACACCGCTGTCCTTTTCGTGGTGGTTGGAGAGCAATGTGGCCGTGTCTGTGGTGCCCCCGTCCTCCTCATGCTTCTTCTGCAAAGACAAACAACCAAGTAAGTTAGGAAAGTTGTCTAGACTACCATAAAAGACCTTAAACTCAGATGCACACCAAAATCCACATTTTCAATGAACTTTGTAGAGTTATCTTAGGGATCAACACCTTGAACTGATTACATTTTTAGTGCAGAGCATCATTAAATTCTAGGATATTTGGTAATGTAGATGTGCTATTACTCTTACTTCAACAGTTTGGTCTGAATTAAGGGATGTTTTAATTTTTCTCCTGTAGATTTACAGACAGTGTTTTGAATCAATGTCCTGTTGTATGAACATATTGAGACCAACCTCTGTTGTCACAGACTACTTACCAAACTACTACAAGCTGCAAAATAAGCCAAATTATCAATCTTCTACCACTGTGCTTGGTGTGAGGTCTTCTGATGTGTTGTCTTATTTTTCTCTATTTAGCACCTTCTTCCATTATATGTAAGGAAACTAAAATGGAGGGTGCTGGGTTCCATATAAATCCGGTACCCCAATTGTTGTGCGGCACCGATTACCTAATTTATGACAAATATGACCCAGAGAAAGTTTAGAATTTTAGGCGAAATGGTTCAGCCTAACTTTATTAAACTGAAGTGACAGAAAACCTATTAGTTAGTCACCCCTGTAACTTGAAAGTTGAACGACCATTCAATAATATTTACAAAACATAAACATAAGGCAAAAATATTAAGACATTAATGTCCACCTTTTGGTTCCAATGAACCAGAACACAACAACAGTCTTAAATGTAACCCTGGCAGTTGGTTACTCACAACCTCCAGGAGAGTGTGAAAAAACGTTGCAGGCCTGTTACAAAACAAAGAGTTGAAGTCCCGAAGGAAAAAAGAAAAAAACATTGAGAGCGTTGCAATTCACAAAAACATTGGGAGCGCTTCAAATATAACATATATATATATAATATATTACATATAACACTGGGCTACATCTATATGGTGGTTTTGTTCATTATGCCTGAACATCAGTTAAAAAAGGACTTTGTTCCTGCTCATTCCTAAAATATGCCTCGGTTTGCAAAGCTGTATTTTCAGAAAGAATTTCCTTCTTATATATTCCAAAGTATCCATACTAGTTTTTCAAAATATACTGTCAACATTAATGGGCCTGACATGTACCTCTTGGATGACCAGCAAGTGGTTTGTTGCTAACATCAACCTGAAGGCTTGTCCACTTCAGGGAAGATTGAGAGCTGAATTATTCTAAATTTTAAACGATGTTTCCTATTTTAGAAAGATGGACTTCATTCTAAAATAGAAACTTGTAAAATAGAAGCCCATTGGCTTTTTGAGACGTTCCACAATAATTGCCTTACTAAGATCACTGATGATGTCTTTCCACCAGGGCGTTGTGTTAATACACACTGGACTCCACACTACTAAACTGACAAACATTTAGCTGTTGTGCTTGATGCTTTTTTTTCAAAGATATAGGAAGAAATGTCTGGTTTGGTTTATCACCATTAGTTGTAGTAGCTAACACTTTATAACACTTTATGGCTTTATTTCTCCTTTATGTCAGGACTTTGTGAGCTGTAAGTATTTCCTGCAAACGAAATGTAAAGATTCTGTGAAAAGATGTACACATTGCATAAAGGTAAGGGCCCATATTTTATCTACAAATATTGCAAGAAACTAGTTCCGGATTAAAAAGCTTTATTCATGTCTTCCTAGTGTCCTTCTGTTAACAATGAAAACAAGAAACCCAAAACCAGTCAAACATTGATTACTCAGACTGATTGTGTGTCTTCCTGCTCAGCATGCTGTGAACAGGCGTGTGTGTGTATGTGTGCGTGTGTGTGCGTGTGTGTGTGCGCGTGTATGTGTGTATGTGTACCTGCTCCAGCACGCTGGCAGTGAACTGCATGGCCTGATGGTGTTGCTGCTCCAGCATGTCCATGTGGAGGTCATCCAGGAAGTCGTTCCTATCATCATCCATCCAGCCCCCGTCCAGCTGGGATGCCATAAGCAGCAGGAGACAAACATATGAAACAGTGAAAAAAAACAAAAAACACACACGCACACGCACACACACACACACACACGCATGCACGCACTCACGCACGCACACACACACACACACGCACAAAAGAAAATTGAGGGAGCAGAGGACATGCTTCTGATATTGAAGGCCTATTTGTCATCAAAAAAGCATTATACAGTGTTATCGGTCATCAGTTATAGGTCAAAAACTTCAAAGGGTTTAATTTTAATCAGAATTAATCTGAATTTTATGGTTGATTTAGATACAGATTTAAGACCCAACATTAATAATCTTTTTTCTCTACTTCCTGTAACCTATACTTTAGCAGCAGCAGTAATATCCCATTGTGTGCATGGATGACCAGTCGTAAAACAGGTAGCAAGTCCAGCTTACTTCAGGAGGTGTGAATCACAATTGAATTATGATGTAGACCAAAAAAGCAATCTTTGGTTCGCCTAAAAGCCTGGGTCTCCATTTGGTTGAAGTGAACCCCTACCGGACCAGAGACCGCGCCATAAGCAGACTAAAGCGCATGGCATTCTGGGTAAATAGAACCAAAACAAATGTGCGTGTCTAACGCTAGCGGGAGAAATTAGGAAAAGGGAAATCCTACAACCACAACCTACAACAAAATTGTAGAAAAAAAACAACACAATTTTGTTATAGATTGTAGTTTTAGGATTTCCCTTTTGCCTGTCGTGGCGATTGTGGCTAGATGGTAGTCTTGTGATCAGAAGGTTGTAGGTTTGATTCCAGCTTCCTCCTGCCACATGTCGATGTGCCTCTGGGCGAGGCACTTAACCCTAAATTGCCTGTCGATCTGCGTAAATGTGAGCGAATGGATGACTATGACTCTAGTGTGAAGCGCTTTGAGTGGTCAAAAAGACTGGAAAAGCACTATATAAGTTCAGTCCATTGATCATTTCTCCTGCTAGCATTGATCAGAAAATGTTCAGATTTTTGAATTCCTGGGCTGATCAAGATGAAAATTGTCCAATTCCAATCACCAGATGATTTTTCTATGAATCTCTGGGTTTACAGTACTAACCTGTAATATACCACACATATTCTGACATGCTTTTTACCTGAATCTCTGGTCGGGCCACCAACAGAGAGACGTTCTGGTTGCCCTCAGTGGTCAACAGCGCCACCGCATCCTCTCGGTTTTGGATCTCAACACCATTGATCTGTACGAACATAAAAATTGGTTGTTTTTCTGTTAATAACACTAATCATTTCTAGTTCTAATCAAACCAACTGAAGCTTCTAGCATTAGTTTTTGTAACTTACCTGTATGATTTTGTCCCCTTCTCTAATTCTACCATCCTTTGCAGCGATGCTGTTTGGATCGATCTAAAGGAACATGTTTAAATTATGGATTAAAGCAAACATTATTCTTTTTGACAAGCACAGTTTGTTGTCACTCATTAAATGTTAAAGCATATCTGAGCATAACCCTGGAACTTTTACCTCACTAATGTAGATCCCGGCCTCATCCTCGTCATCAGTCCTGTAACAGATGGTCAGGCCCAGTTTGTCTTGGATGTTTGCTCGGTACAGATCCACCTCCTGGTTAGATAGAAATTAAACCTGAAATTACTTTCCTCCCCCCAATGAAGCAGGAGAAAAATAAGTGTGTTTCTAGACAAAGTAAATGTATTGATTTCAAAATGCGGCCAAAGAGCAATGCAAATCTATCAATCACCATAATGAAATTTTCAGCTGGATGCAGGGAGGCCATCGGCTTTTGTGAGAGGCCCACTGACAGCATGAGGGATGCAGTGAGCCACAGACACATTTAATCTCACAGATCCAGATAAAGTTAAGAACAGGGTGATTTTGTGGATATATCTGGAGTGATACTCTGCTTTAGGCCCAGAATTGGATGTAATGTTTCATGGTGAATGCCAACATTTAACACAATTTCAAGCAAATCCACGAACAAGTGGGATTAACTAACTGATGAAGTTACACAGCATGGTAACTAAACCAGCTGAACTATCGATGGCAGATTTTTCCTTCTTCACAGACCATTTATTTTCCTAGTAGGCCAGCATGAAAGAATGAAGATGTGCAAAATTTTACTGATTTTCTATGAGATAAAATGCATAATTGAAAATAAGCAGTTTATTCCTTCAGATTTTCGGCTTTGGAGTTCAGGAATGGTGAAAGTATGGAAACATTAAAGTTTTCCTTCTTTCAACACACATTTATCTGACCAAAATTTCTTTCTCCTTTGACTTTAAAGTCATGTGCAAGTAAAAACAAAAACTTGGAGATTAAAATATTAATTTTTTTTCCTTCTTTGCAGACCATTTTTTCCTAGTAGATGAGAATGAAAGAATGGTGGTGTGCAAAATTTGACTGTTTTTCTGTTAAGTGTTTCTTAGTATAAAAACCACGTTTCTTTCATGTCTACAGAAAATAACCAAAACAGAAGAAAAACGTTTAAGCCATTATTCTCATTTTGTTTTAGCTATAATGGCAAGTGAAAAAGTATTGTGCCATTTTTTTCCAACACACAGAAAAAAGCAAAGACTTACAAAAAATGTTTGTCCTTTTCTATGTGCTGGAGAAGAAATAAAAGACCAAAAAACAAAAAAATACAATAAATAAGTAAATAATGAAAAATATCGTAATCTTTAATTTTAACAGCTAACAATGGCTGCACCAGGATGTGGTCACCATTAAAAAAGGCAATTCAGCTGGATTATTTCCCCTCAGGTCTACCTCTGCTCTCGTGTTACTGATAAAACAGCAGAGATCTAAACTGAGATTAAGTTTTACCTCATATTCAAGCCCCTCGCGCTCTATCTCCTGTTGGATGCCCTCCAGAAAATCGTTGGGGTCAAAATAAGTGTGCTCTGGAGGAGACCTGGGAGAAGAAAGAGTGTGTGAGATAAATCCGAAAACAGTGTTAACAGTTGATAACAAAAGCCCAAAACTCAGAAACCCTATAATGTGTTTGGAATGAATTTTACCCCAGGGTCTAAAAATAAAATGACACAAAGCAGCAATGCAATTGGAAGAAAATCAATATAAAATTAGATGTACTGAAACTACAGCCAGAAGCTAATCACAAATTAGCATGTTACACTATTCGTTTGACTAAAATTAAAAGGAACCACTATTACTCATTTGAGGCCAAATTCCTGCGTTCGTGATGCCTTTTACTGTTGTCACAGTGCATGTGTGCTCACGGTGTTGGAGCTGTGATGTCTCCCACACACAGGAAGAGGAGCAGCAGCTTGTGAAGATGCAATTATAAAAGAGCAGAACCGTTGTTTTAATGTGCCCTGGAGCTGCTATCATCTCTGGTGATTGGCAAGAACATTTTTCTCTCAGACTGAGACGCTCTTTGTTATCACAGCTTTTTCCAGAGGCAAGACAAGCCATCATTCACGGGGTGTTAAGAGAGCAAATCCAAAAATCAGGTGACCTCATTCTTTGGGCTCATAATGTTGCTGAATCTAGACCTGAGCAACTGCAGCAACCACAGGCTTCTAAAGTAGGCACATCACTGCATCTGTTTGTACTGATTGTCACGTTGGAAGAATGTAATAATGGACTTGTTAGACTTTTCATTGCTCCGGAGCCTAACTTTATGCTGCGCTGCAAATTAAAGGGGAGGTATGAGGGTTCTTAGATGTTTTCCAGGCACTTGTAAATTTACAGCGCAATAAAGCAACAGTCTCCTTCAGTTGCTATGAAAATGCTGTGTGTATCAAAAGTAAGAAAATAAATTTGACTTCACATGTGGCAGCATAAAATTGGCCTCTGTCTCTTTAAGAAATTTCTACCCTTTCTGGCACTTCAGCATCACAACAATGTTCATGATGCCTTTTACAATTGTTCATAGGAGCATTGGCATTTTCTCAGCAGACGCCGAGTTCCACCAGTTGTTTGCTCATTTCTGCTGCCGCTAGTCTGGAGGAGCTGAGTGGTGGTTCTTTGCGAAACGGGACCTGGGAACTAAAGCTCCAAGGTGGAGCTTTGTATGAGCAGGCGATCAAGTTGCCATGGGAGATTCAAGGTTTTCTCAAACATGCATTAATGAGTCAAAGCAACCCTCCAGGCACGGGCAGAAATACAACGGGGAGAAGGGGAGAAACGGACCCCCCAATCTTGGAAAAGACTAGAATTCTCTCCCGAAAAGAAATCATAAAGGAAACCTTTTTATTTAAACAAGATTAATATGAAAAGGCGAAAGAAAGAGACAAATAACTAAATAAATTTGCCATACATCTATGAAAAAAATAAAAATATATTGGTAAAAGATGAGCAAAAAAATACCAAAAAAAAGTGAACTTTGCTATCCAATTATTAATCAACAATAATTATATAGCAATTATTGATTAATTTCTAATTCTTAATTAATGGACAGCAATGAATTAAATGGCAGACAGTATTTTTTTAGATGCACATGTTGTGTCAATGACTCAGGCATCCATACATGAGTTGTGCTTTACCCCTACCAACAAAGCACACAGAACAATCAATCATTAAAATATTGCCCCCAGGCAGCATTCGCCTTAGCGTATTTCACCAGTGTTCTGCCAGTTTATATGTCTCTCTTCCAGCACAGCTGCTTCAGATTTAAATTTAAATTAATTTTAATTTGTCTATGTTACAAAATGTATGAAAGTGGTGACTGATCAGAGAACCAGAGCGGACCAGAAATAACACCTGATTGGAGCATCTCTAGAGTTTGTTGGGTCCAACCTCATTCTGTTTTCATCCCAGGCTACACACACAAAAAAATTGTAGTGAGAGAAGAGGTTAAGAAATTGTGCATAAAAAGAACAGTTTAAGATCCCTCTAAGTTGGTCACAAAACATCTTTACCAGGTGTGTCAGCACCTGGTAAAGATGATTGTTCTGTCTGTGTTTTCTTTCACATCAAGATGGATTTTTAATTTGTAGAGAAGAAATTTCCCAGATTCATCCTCTAAAACTCCAGGAAAAAAGAAGATTAACTAAGGGGAAGAATAATCTATGCCAAGACCTTGACCGTATTTAGTCTTTGATCGCTCTGAAGTTCCCATGAATCTGCGATGCAGCGCTATCAGCCACTCTACTCACTCTTCCGGCAGCAGATACTCCTCCAGCTCCATCATCGGGGGTGAAGTGGGAGGCAGCTTGGTGAGAGCCACGATGTGCTGGAGGGTGATGTCGGTCTGGGTGCTGATGTCTGACATCTGGGTGTCTGTGATGGGGGCGAGTAGTTGGGGGTAAGTACCCTGGCGTAGAACTTGAACCATGATGGGCTCCTTGGCGGTGCGGAACGCCTCCACTGCTTGCTCATGGGTGGCTTTTGAGAGGTCCTTCCCATTAACCTGCAAGACAAAGACAGAAATAACATAATTAAATGAGACAGACAGAGATAACATAATTAAATGTTTTCCTCTCTCCGCGGAAACAAACTAATGTAATCACTCTTTAATTAAGACTATCAAATAAATCAATGAGTACAAACTTCTCTTTGGTAAATGAGGTATCACAGTTTCCCCCCTTTTGTTACAGGGTCATAGAAGGATCAAGTGCAATGAGACATTAATTAGGAAGAGTGTCTGTTTAATTAATCAAGTTCATTAGCTGTGGCTGCGTACAGGATTCCTCTTTTAGCTAAGAGACGATCGGTGGAGGGAGTGCATGGCATCAACATGAGTAGATTAATTTGAGCAAAGGGCTGCGATGGGCCACAGAAATTAGGCTAATTAAGTCTGCTTCAGCCACTTAGAGGCTCCATGTCCTGATGAAAGCACAAAGCCTCTAAATGCCCCGCTCTCACAGGAATTTGCAGAGATCCAAAAAGTCAGAGACCAGACCTAAATGAAGATTCGCCTTATCAAACAACAGAGATTGAAATCAGACATCAGACAAAAAATGTCATGTTTTCTTGATAGCAATCTTTCAGAATCATTCTAAGTCATGAGTGAAATGAGCTACTTTAAGCAAAGTCTTCATTACATAACAATATTAGTTTGCTTTAGAAGTTAAAAAAATTGATCATGGTAGCTGTTAGTAGTTGTTAAACAGCTGTTTGAATTGAGAAGATAGAAGATAAAACATTTACAGTACATGACTGATCAAGTGTTACTCTCAGAAAGACTAATAATGGTCATTGATACTTGAAAATATTTGGTTTGAGTTTTCTACTTTAATAATTTAGCTAAAGTTAGCTCCAATAAGTGGTTAGTTTGGTTCTATTATTGGACATCTAGGCGCATATATTTGAACATTTTTAAATATTGAACCAAAGATTAAGATATTGTTTGCAAAACCTCATTAGATGTAAATGAGCAATCAGAAAAAAACTGCTCATACTGGTAATTCTAACAGATTCTTTGAATATACATCTTTGAAATGACAATATTGAAGATAAAGTTTAGTGCAAACCCAGTACCTGTTACATGAAAAATGTTCCATGTTTCTCATTTTCTGTGTTGCAATAATTAAGAATCCTTGTAAATTGTGACTGAAACTGGACTATCTGACCAAAATGCTACTATGCCTTTATAAGTTCCCCAAAAAGCAACAGTGAAACACCGGAAGAAGAAAAACACCCAGCATACAATAGCTGCTTCACTTTCAATCAGCAGATCAAACAAAATCGTCTGGCTTGCGATTCCTGATGTGTTGGAAGCTTTCACAGGAACTCAGCCTCTGGATGTTACCGGGTTTTTCCTGCATATTTACAGGCTAACATGCTTGTGAAAGCTTTACACAAGTGGAACATCATTTGGAAACTCCTGATTCTCCAGACATCTGACATACACTTTAATTGGTGTTTGGGTAGTCATTTCTGATAAACATACAACTGTTTAGCTGGGCTGCCTCTTGTGGTGATCTTGCACATCAGCAAGATAGCTACGAGCTATACACTATCGTACAAGACAATGGTTTCTATTAATGTATATTCATATGTTAAAACAGCCTAGTCAAAGTTCAGACCTTCTCAACTTTTGAAATTGATATTCACAAACCCTCTATTCTGTTAATATCAATAAGGAGCTAAATCTGATTGAGTCTGAGCTATTTTACAAAGAAGATTATGTAAAACGGGGGGTTAATACAAATGCACTTTGTATGTTCAGGGGTTTTTTTTTAAGAGAAAAAGGAACAATGTATCTTTTTGGGTCCACTTTATTGTGTAAAATGTTAAAGGAGAATAAATAAGTTTGCAAGACAACATAAAATAGAAGATGCAGGTTATTATTGCATAGAAATAAAGGAAGTTCAGAGAAAAAAAATCGTCAACCTCTTGATTGTGAGTTTAAAACTAGAGATGCACCAATCAGTCTACTTCTATGATCTGTGCTCTGAGCAACATCATGCTCATAAATCAGAATTTATTTAGCATCATGATAGAATTTGTAATTGCACTTTCTAATCCATTTGAAAAGTTTGTTGAGAAGTTTTGTGAAACGTGTTTTTGACATGTTTGACGAACGTAGTCAACCAGCTGTTTTTGTCAGTTTGAGTATCTTTTGTATTTTTTTTTTACATTGGCTGTTATACTCCTTTAAGCAGTTCTGACTGTACAAAGTAAAGTTTTGTTGTTTTTACATGTTTGATCAAGCTTGTGGAACTGTTTATTTAAGCGTAATGTACTGCTGCAGAGTAATCAAATAAATTTATAATTCTGTACATACGGTATCGCAAGTTAAAAATGTGGATTCGTAATTAAATCCAAACAAAAACAAATGCTGACACAACTTAAAGAGAGAAGATGTCTTATGACTGCCTTTATCTTTTGTGAGCTGCTCTAATTCACCCAGGATTTGACATCCCCAGGTTCTTCGTCTCCCACTGCAAGATGTGACGTTACACATCAGGTGAGGAACAGCAGGGGTTTCATGCTGCCCTCTCACTGCACTGAGATTCAGACAGTCCAACATGGCTCTCTGGAATCTCAGCACTCCAACAAAGCATCTCAGTGATCCAGGATTAGTTGAACATGTTGGCTTAGATATGTTGTAATTTTCCTATCGCCTAAAAATTGCTGTTTGTGATATGCCAAAACTCATAATCACTTCAAAAAAAGTATATCTTTTGTTCTATTTTACACCAATGGAGGGCGCCATTTTTTCACCTAATGGGTTGATGACATAGTTTAGTCCGTTTGTACTGGAATCTACAGAGTAGACAAGGAAGGCCAACTTTGTCTGAGTAGTTGTTTATTATGTTATAAATTTAGATAATGCCACACTGTGTTACTATTGGATGTAATTTAAAACAAAGCAAAACAGTGAGGTGAATATGGATCACTCACCAGATCACAAAGTTCGATCAGAGGTTTAAAAAATAAATCAGGGACCAACCCTTCTTTTCAATAACAGCTTTCCATTTATGGAGTGTTGATCTGTGGATGAGCAACTTTTTGCGCAGCAGCAACCTCAGCAACATTGTACAGACAATCTCCTGATTAAGGAGGGCCCACACGTTCTCATTGGTGTTTAGGTCTGGTGATGAAGGGGGGCATTTTATTAGGGCCTTTACTGGTTAGCCTCATAGTGCAGTACTTTGACGCATGTGATGGAGCATTGTCCTGCATAACAATCCTGCATAACGCTTTTCTTGAAAGATGCAGACCACTGTATTTTGGATGTACCATCTGTACCACTGCTTGAAGAAAGTGAATTCTATTCAAGTTTATACAATGTGGAGTTTTAAAATATGCATATGCTTTGGTCAAAACTAAGACTTGCTTAATAATTGCGCACAGAGTGTATTGTTACAACTAATCAGAAACAAAGCCTTTAGCCTGGTGAGCCCGAGGCATTCTGCATCGGTGCTTTTAATGAGGGAGACCAAATGGGGTGGGGAGGTCTCTGAGTCAGCCTCAGTTCAGTGAGCTGAGAAGCTCATTCAGCTTCGCTTGCACAGACTCCATGCAGATAAAGACACTGGACCTTTACAGGCTTGGTGCTCTGAAAACCTCTAACAGAAGGTTTGTGTCGGACGTACAGAACACAATGCTTCTGTTCCTGTGTGCACACACAGAAGGATCACTAGTACATCTTCAAATGGGTTTCTGTTAAATCTATTTTAACAGCAGGAGGGCAGCCATTTCCCGCTTAAAGGAATACTTATTAGATCAAAATCAAATGTCTTCTGTTCCACTGTCAGGAGAGGAATTTACACAGCTGCAGCTTTGTTATTCACAGCCCATTTTCTTTCATTAAAATGTCACATTTGACCTCTAAGACAACACTGGAAACGACTACCTGGTCTGGATTTGGCTCTTGTTTTGCAGCTAATTTAGAATTTCATTTCTCCTCAATGTGCCATATGGCAGCTTATATGGCTTTTCAGCCTGTTAGTAATAATTAGGGGCAGCAGGAGGCAGCTGTGCTTTGAACTGTGATGTCAGCTCATCTCTGTGAAGCAAATCAAGTTGGACTGAGCCATCAATGTGGGAGTTTGTGTGTTTGCTTGTCTATTCCGAGGCTGGAAAACATACAGCAGAAAACTGTTCATCTGCCAGGCAGCTGGCTTGAGATTTTCCATTATTGTCTTTGCATTACTGTGGATGTAGAGAGGCAGCAACAGCTTTATTAAATCTTCATTTAATCCTGCACTGTCTGGGAAATCAAAATTCAATTAAAAATAAATATTTTCATATTTTCATAATTTCACTGATGCTATGCAAAGGCTCATTATTACTGTTGTGAATGTCACATTTGTTGGAGGAAAAGCATCAGTTTTAATATATAATTATTTGTATTTTTAATTTGTATGATGATGCATGTGTTGGTGACTTGACATTTTTGATCTTAAATGGGCCTTAGTGATTAATGATAAAAAATAAATAGATGTTTTTAGACAGTTTTGTTCAAGTTTGATTTTATGCTTTTTTGCTGACTGAGTTAAATATAAAATATAAAGAATATAAAATATAAAGAAAAGTTATTTCTTTTGATAAAGAAATATAAACCTGAATACTTTTGCTCTGACAGAAATCAGAACAGTTTTAAATAGGTATTTGTAAGAAGTTTGAGAAATTGCTGATTGGAAATGAGCCACTTAGAACAACAACTCTGGTAAGTACATCCCTAATATTAGGAGCTGGTCTTATTGCATTTTAGAAATGTTTTGCCAAATCCACCTTTCATAAAAGGACAAAAGTACCTTCAAAACAACACATAAGTAACATATGCGAATGCTATTGTTGTGGAAAAGGCTTTGAACAGATGTTGATATGAGTTTATGATATGACCTTTTAATCCCCACATAATCCTTTAATAAAGAGGAGGGCTATTAAAGAGGCTGTGTCTTTCTTCCTTGGGGATATGCAGTGATATGAATATCATGGAAATGAGGCCTTTCAGTA